ATAGCGTATAACAGCATGATCCATAGCTGATTCCATATCGCATACAACAACACAAAAACAATTGAATTATCAAAGTATTACCATAGCGTATAACATCATGATTCCATAGCTGAATCCATATGCTGAATCCATATTGCATGCAACAACACAAAAACAATTGATAACAACATCTCATCTGATTTCTAAAATTCATTTTGATTAATCAGCTTTAGGAGGCTGAAGATAATCAAATCGATCATTGATATGAACAATTGAGGGATTGAGAAGATCCCAATCCGGATTGTATCATCCATCCCAATTGGGATTTGCCATTTCAATCGGTTATAACTGACGTACAAGGCCACTAGTCTAGACTCTAAGGGTAATTCGATTGGTTCCTGTCATAACCAACTCAATAGACTAAAAGTAATGAGTCCCTTTATTGACCCTTTTTTTTACCTCTATCATAATTAACTTGTTCACATCTTGAGCTCTCAGGACACTCCCCTCTCCAACTTTATTAACGTTGTGAAATTACACATCATCACTCATAATCGATCATCAATCATGGCCTTACCTGGACAAGAGATTCAAAACCCAAAAAACAAGAAGAGGAAGAGCAAGGGTCGCGGCAAATCAAGGTTAGCGAAGCTTTTGAAAACAATTGAAACAGGAGAAGGCGAGGTGTCCGCTGCTGCGGTCAATGGCTTATTGGGAGAGGGAAGATCAAACACACCAATACAGGATGAACTTCGTATCTACGAGGCCGGCCAAGATGGAGATTGGACAGACGATGAAGTCAAAGATGATCATCCGTATGTCTCTTACAAAGAAAGAACACAACGTGAGCAAGCGCAGTGGACAAAAGCTCTTCCAAGTATGTTTATCGAATTCATGAAGTGCTCAAAGAAAACATACCAGTGGGGGGATGAAACCATTTGGAACCAGGATTGGAAGACCGCTTGCCAATGCACAGATGTGAGGGAACGGTCGGTCGATGTCGTTGATATCACAAGTAAGAAGTTCATTTTCATGTAGAGATGTACGTTATCAATGAATTTTATATATCATGTATTTTGCAGGTCAAAAGAAGATCACCGTTAATTTTTGCTCTTGCCAGTTGGACTGTGTTTGACTTGTGCAAATGGGGTTGATGGGAGCCACCACAAAAAACCCAGTTACTGCCTTTACAATCCGTCTTCTACGACTGCATCACATTCTATGGAAACTATGCCGTATCCGAATAGCCCCATTCTGCTTGGCCCTCGATGAGTATCTCGATGCTAGGAATGCTATTTTCATTTCTAAAGACGGTGAAGGGGATCGAGTATGTCATTCCTTTCAAGCACAGATGATTTGGCAACTGATCATATACGTATTTTCTAGCCACGCGAGTGGCGGAAACCGTTTACTTTGGCTGTTGATGCATATTGAGACATGCTTTGTCTTGAAGCTGAACTTACAACAAAAGCCCTCAAACTCACCTCAGTAGAACAGCTGGCTTCCAACTGTCCTCGCTGCTATGGACCCATCGTCAAAGGCAAAAGAGAGGCAGAGCCGGACTATATTGTCTGCATGGACGGAAACTTTCAGCACCGTCGACATAAGCTAGCCAGTGCAGCGTGGCGTGAGACTACAGCTGTTCCGCCACTTTTTATGCCTCAGAACACTGTTGATGGATGGGATGTCCGTTATACTGAAGGCACCAAGAAACAAAAAAAAAACACTACACCCATTGTGAGTCTGAGAATTCACCAAACAATCATTACGAGTTTTCAAAACCATACATGTTTTGTTTTCTAGGATCCATGTACTGCTAGTCACACTGCTGCTGACGATGCAAGAGGTGGCCAGACTTGGCGTGGGTGTGACGAAACCGGCTTATTCAGGATGGCTTGCCGACACGACCACGTGTTGAAGTTTATCAACATTGTACAGAGTGGAGAACGGTACAATACCTTGTTCACTTTTTTTTTTCTTTGCTTATACATATGCTTTTACCAGATGCCATTTTCCGCTAGCCATGATTGACTGGCTATTAAACGAGGTAGATCCTGAAGAAAAAGACACGAAGAAAAAGGTTGCAATACTATATGATAATCGTTGTACTTTGGAAAGAGGGATGGAGATAGTACGTTGTGAAATCCAATGTTATGTCTTACAGATATGATAATAATCTGATGTTTTTTATTTATTAAATTCAACTTCAATTTTCCAGAGGAATTTATTTAAAGACGAGCGTGAAGCCGGTCGATTCAAGTTTGGAACTGGTGCCTGGCATTCTTATGCACACATAAGATCTTGCCAAATCAAGTACAACCCTCGATTGAATACTGACTGGGGAATGTCAGATGGAGAGGGATTGGAGCGTATTTGGTCGGAACTACGCGATCTGATTGCCGTTTTACGATCCTCAACAAAGGACCATCGACTCTGGGCATTGCACCTTCAAGCAGTCTTTTTTAATGAGCGAGGAAGACTAAATAGTGGTTAGTATTTTGAGTCATAACTTTTATGTATGGTAAACACGCCACCTGAAGATCTATAAATTTCTGCTAGTTGATTCCATGATGCTGCGTATGAAGGACATGAAGAAACTGTTTACCGACAGCCAGATGAAACTCGATAGACTTCTTCAAGACCCCGGTTACACTATTGAGTACATCAAGGCGCAATGGGCGAGGCAACGTGAATGCCAGCTTAAAGCTATCGACACTGGAAGCATGAAGGCGTTGACGGAGAAAGTAGCTCATTTGGTAGGGTTGGAAGAGAACTTGTACGAATCACAGTACGTAGGTACTGATACAATTTGATTATCAGTCATCTAATGTTGCTGTTGATTACAGAAAAGAGCTCAGGGAACTTCGGCGCCAACGGCGCCACATTCGAAGTGAAGCCAATGAGGAACGCATCATGCGTCTGCCTAACTCACTTACTCTGATTGAAGAGGAGATCAATTCTGTGATTTCCGAACTTGGAGCTGAAGAGTTCCGAAATATTCCGGGTGCAGCAAGTGAGTCACTATTTGACTCAATTCTCAGTTTTTTCAATTAATAACTACCAATTGTATAATTCAGGCGCGCATGGTAAAAGTGTTATCAGAATCAGAGTCTCGAAGGGGAGGCTGTATGAGGCAAAGGTCGGAGTTTTGGAAGAATCGAAGCAAGCAAATCTCAGGGCAGGTAAGTGATAGCTCACTGAGATTTTGAAAGGAAACATCCGCATCAAGAATTGATTTATTTCATCTGTAGGAACTTGTCATCTACAAAGGCATACACAACTACTACGATCTAAGGAAGCAGAGTTGAGAAAATCATACCGAGCCTATGAGCGCCAGGTTTCCGGACACAACAAGTCCTTTCCTAGGAAACAAATCGAATGCCCCGAGTTTGAAGACATGAAGTCCTTACCAATTGACGATAGTTTTTGGGATTTTGGTCACTTGACTCACCCAGAAGAACCATGGGCAACTGATTCAAGATTACAAGACGGGATCAAGTGGTACCTTGAAGTGACTCATTCCAAGGACGAGTTGCGCAGAGTCGGCCGGGAGTGTAGGCAGTCGATGAATTGGGCCATAGAGACCAACAAAAAGATTTCAGATCTCAAGAACATTGTATACAGCAATGGTAAGAAAACGGCTTTTTTTTACGTGACTCTAGTTTAATCTTTCTTTGTTCACTAGATGACACACTTGAGAACGAGAACAACAGGACCCCGGAAAGCCCCTATGGAACCATCCGACAAAAAACGTATCAATCGGGGGTCGAGATTTTGGCTGAGTTACCGACGAAATACGTATCAATCGGCCAATTTTCAAAAAAGAGCTGTAACAACATACCGACGTAGAATAGCAATACAGGTATCAAATCTGTATGAAATGGCATGTCACAGAGGTAAACCCGCGGAATACAGCATGTTACCAGCGGAAAAGGAGCAAAACTGCCCAAATCAAGGCAAAAACCGTTGGATGTTACCGACAAAATTGGTATCAAAGGCCTCAAAAAACAACTTT